AGGAAGGTAAACGGCGTTTCCATGCGCTGCTCTGGTTTACCAGAAGTGGCTTAGTCATGCTGGCCACACGACCCGGAAGCTGTATGCCGACTCACTCGGCTAATAAAGCGAGATGAGTGCCGCAACCCCAGAGTCGGCCACGACGGGACCTAATGGTCAGGGGTCCCTTTACCTTTACATGCCCACCCAGATTTGGTGAAGCTTTTTTTAAGATCAAAGTTGCCTGGTTAAAGCAAATGTCCTGGATTTGGGATTTAAAAAAAATAAATAAATTGTGCGAGCGGCTCTGGCATGGGCGGCCCAGGTTCTGGCTCTGACGTGAGCGGCTTAGACTATCAGGCGATTGCTCAACAACATTTTGTGTTTGGATTTTTACCTCTTGAAATACGGCAACCTTATAAGTGTTTCCTAAACCTGGGTCTCCACTGGTCCTGCTAGTTAGAGATGATGGGAGTTGTAGTCCAACAAAAGATAGGGCACACCTGCCCCATTGGCTTGTGCTGTGGCCACTTCTGGCTCTCACACCAGCAGTGCCCTACAGCGATTTAATTATGCAAATTAAATAAAGCTGCGTATAATTTATTGATTTGCTGGTCACACACCTGTGGCATGAAGGCAGCAAATCTTATTTCCACCCGATCCTGGTTTTGAGCAATTCTGGCTGCTTCTGGGGGATCATTGTGTGTTTCTCAGCCATTTCTCACCTACCTTCCTAATCACGAGGGCTTGGAGTTCATGGTCATAAACTTGTTGGGTGGGGAAGTGAGGATATTTGAGATTCTCGAAATGTAGGCCGGCTTGTGTGCCTGATGCCAAATTCCACACATGGGTCTGTTTTTCATTAATTGTCACACTAATTTCAGCCATGTTCCCTAGTATTTGAAAGATTATTCAGTAGAGGGATAAAAAAATATATTACTAATAACTGATTGTGATGATGAACTGAATACACTTTCATTTACTTGGACTGCATCACAACCAAAGAATTTAATAGTTTCTTTCGACTGCATCGCAGCAACAAATAATTCGAAACACATTATCCCAAACAAGAGATTGCAGAAACCAGCTAGGGCAATCACATTTACAAGGCTGTTCCTTTGTGCAGGAGCTGTGGCTGCTTAAAACTACGGCAACAAAGTTTTGTCTCTGATGAATGATTAATCAGGCCACTTAACCAATTAACATTTCTGGCATGAGGGGCGAAATATTCCTGTTTTCTTAAGGAGAAGCAAAACAGAAACTGCAGTCCTCGGGCCACAGGGTTTCTTGAGACTGCTCCAGAGTGTAGTTAAGCAGAGCTGGGAAAAGCTAGTTGCTGCCCTTAATGATGGTGTGAAATAAATAAATAAAAATTGTCCAGTAGCTCCTTAGAGACCAACTAAGCTTGTTCTGGGTATAAGCTTTTGTGTGTATGCACAATTCCTCAGATACAGTGGTACCTCTGGTTACATACGCTTCAGATTACATACGCTTCAGGTTACATACTCCGCTAACCCAGAAATAGTGCCTCAGGTTAAGAACTTTGCTTCAGGATGAGAACAGAAATTGTGCTCTGGCGGCGCGGCGGCAGCAGGCCCCATTAGCTAAAGTGGTGCTTCAAGTTAAGACCAGTTTCAGGTTAAGTACGGACCTCCAGAACGAATTAAGTACTTAACCTGAGGTACCACTGTACACTGAAACAGATAACCCACCTACTTTCAGCAGCCAGAAAAACCATAACCAGACACTGGAGAGACCTGTCAGGAGTAAGCATGGACCAATGGTACCAAATAGTATGGGAAACAGCCTTACTGGAAAAATTAACCAATAAACTGGGGACAAACAGATGAAGATGCCTTCACCCCGGTATGGCTCCCCTTTATCACATACACAGCCCAACAAGACAACGACAAAAACCCACCAACAGCATACAAATCAATAAGGCTAACCTGATCCGAAACACCCACCCACCCCACTCACGCACAAAAAAAAAGATCACCACAGCCAATCACAAACAACCACACCCTAGGCCAATCCCAACCTCCCTTCACCACCAAAGGAACTCAAGTGAACAGCAGAGAAACTGCACAAACAATGCTGACACCAAACCCTACATATATTAAGTAAAATAGAAACATCGCCACCCAACCCCACCCCCACTCACCTCTCCCCCCTCCACCTCTTTCCTCCTTTTCTTCCTAATGTCTCAACAAATGAAACTGATTTGCAAAAATGTTACATGGTAAAAATACGAAAGAGAGAGATTACACATACTTTTGTAAATCAAGAAAATCTTTAATAAAAATACATTTTTTTTAAAAAAAAAAGATACACTGAAACAGAAGTCACCAGACCCTTATATCTAGTGAGAGGGTGGGGTGGGGTTTTTCTCAGAAGGCTTAGTAGGAGATGGGTGATTGACACAACGGGTATGGTGTGTAAATTATGGTATACATAGGTAAAGGGAAAGGGACCCCTGACCATTAGGTCCAGTCGTGACCGACTCTGGGGTTGCAGCGCTCATCTCGCTTTATTGGCCAAGGGAGCCGGCGTACAGCTTCCGGGTCATGTGGCCACCATGACTAAGCCGCTTCTGGCGAAACCAGAGCAGCGCCCGGAAATGCAGTTTACCTTCCCGCCGGAGCGGTACCTATTTATCTACTTGCACTTTGACGTGCTTTCGAACTGCTAGGTTGGCAGGAGCTGGGACCAAGCAACAGGAGCTCACCCCGTCGCAGGGATTCGAACCGCCGACCTTCTGATCGGCAAGCTAGGCTCTGTGGTTTAACCCACAGCGCCACCCATGTCCATGGTATACATAGCTGGTTTGAAAATGGTTTGAAAGAGGGAAAGAAAGTGCCTTCTTCCTTTGTCCATACAATATGCACATGGTTCCCCCCTCCTCATTTTATCCTCACAGGTTAGACAGAGAGAAAGTGAGCAGTCCAATTATAAATGATTTAAATAGTTTGCCAAAATGTTGTCTCCCCTTTACTAATTGCTGAGCATAATTTATTTTCTCCTCAACTGACAAAGAACGGACACAGGGCATGGTGGGAGAGGGCAGAATAATTTATTGGTGGCGCTCATTTGTGTGTATTTTTCATTCCAGCTGCATTCCTGACACACCAGTTGCCTTGGCACATTACTGACCAGGCCACACCAGTGGGTCTGCCCCACTGCAGCCTCTAGTGCTCCTTTGTGAAGAGTGTGCAAAAAAGGAGCGAGACTCCAGCTCTAGGCTTTGCAGGTCGACCCTCAACGCCATATATAATAATACACACAACACAACAACAACACACACACAATTTGCCTACCCTCCCACATTTCTCTGATGAAAATAGGGACAGCCTATTCCATACCCTCCAACATTTCCCCAGTGAAAATAGAAGTGTTCCCGCCAACATTTCTCCCGTGAAAATAAGGATGTCCCCTATTCCATACCCCACAACTTTCATCAGATGACATTAGGGAGCGTCTCCACCCCCATCGCTCAGCCCAGAAACAGAGGTCCAGCTCCAAGGGCCTTCTGGCGGTTCCCTCCCTGCGAGAAGTGAGGTTACAGGGAACCAGGCAGAGGGCCTTCTCGGTGGTGGCGCCTGCCCTGTGGAACACCCTCCCATCAGATGTCAAGGAAATGAACAACTATCTGACTTTTAGAAGACATCGGAAGGCAGCCCTGTTTAGGGAAGTTTTTAATGTTTGATGTGTTTTTAATATTCTGTTGGGAGCCACCCAGAGCGGCTGGGGAGACCCAGCCAGATGAGCGGGGTATAAATAAATTATTATTATTATTATTATTATTATTATTATTATTGGATGTCCTAAGGGGAAACGGGACATTCCGGGATCAAATAAATCCATCCCTGGAAAATAGGAACACTTGAAGGGTCTATAAACGTGCCTTTAAAGAGGACCTTGTACAGCAAGGATGTAATCTGAGGTGACGGCCGCTCTGCCCTGAGAGACCTGGGAGGGCTAGGCTGAAAGTTGTGGAGAGGTCCCGTTTCCAGTGCTTCTGACGGGACTGCTATTAATGGAAAGGAGCAGTCTGGGACAACTGCAGCTGTGTAATTTCAGCTCCAGTCTACTGACAACTTCCAGATTTCCTCTGGCAAAATGCTGTTTTAATTACTGCGTGTGTTTATCATTCATCAGCAAAGTGCCCGGTGGGGGGTGGAGGTGGGGGGATAAAGGCTATTTGGCCCCAATAGACTGGAAAGAAGGCTCCAAATTCCAATAATGCGAGGTTCCCCGAAGTCTGGCAACCCTGGAGTTGGGCTCCACTCCAGTAACCACACGAGAGGGTGCAAATGCAGAGGGGAAACTGAGGCTCCTCAAAGCTCCACCTCCCATGAGATATCTCCAATCCCCAGCCACATTCCACTCAGTTATCCGGCATGCAATCTGGAATTGGTTCTGGAATTCAAACCCCCTCAAAGCAAGATTATGTCCCCACATGATGTGATATTGTGAGTTGCCGCCACCTGTGTGGGAGGGGTTCGTGTATACAGTGGTACCTCAGGTTAAGTACTTAATTTGTTCCAGAGGTCCGTTCTTAACCTGAAACTGTTCTTAACCTGAAGCACCACTTTAGCTAATGGGGCCTTCAGCTGCCGCCGCACCGCTGGAGCACGATTTCTGTTCTCATCCTGAAGCAAAGTTCTTAACCCGAGGTAATATTTCTGGGTTAGCGGAGTCTGTAACCTGAAGTGTCTGTAACATGAAGCGTCTGTAACCCGAGGTACCACTGTACTTAAATGGTAGGGTGGGAAGGGGGGGTCAGGACTGGGAAACTTTGTGTAAACTTTGGTAATGCATGAACTCTTCTCTTTATACTTGCTAAACAAATCGTAGATAAACAACAGGTTATATAATCCAACACGCGAGAATATGGAAAGATCTGTGAGGATCTTTCTCGATTCTAAACGTCTTTAAGAAATGAGGGGGAGACTTGCAAATTTAGTCCGTCCCCCCCACAGATCATCCAGTCCACCCCCTGCAATGCAGGGATATGCAGCTGTTCCATATAGGAATCGAACCTGCAACCTTGGCGTTATCAGCGTCACATTCTAACTAACTGAGCTATCGCAATGGGGGAGGAGATTTTTTAAAAAATGCCTGAACCCTTTCGGTCAGTTTTAGAAAATGTATTTCCTTCATCCGTCTCCAGAATAAATCTATCTGGAACCAGTACAACCATACACATCCACATTTATAGATTCCTCCGGATCTCTGGACTTCCCACCTTCCCCTCGGTGGATCCTATTACAGTGGTACCTCAGGTTAAGTACTTAATTCGTTCCGGAGGTCCGTACTTAACCTGAAACTGTTCTTAATCTGAAGCACCACTTTAGCTAATGGGGCCTCCTGTTGCCGCCGCGCCGCAGGAGCACGATTTCTGTTCTCATCCTGAAGCAAAGTTCTTAACCTGAAGCACTATTTCTGAGTTAGCGGAGTCTGTAACCTGAAGTGTATGTAACCTGAAGCGTATGTAACCTGAAGCATATGTAACCTGAGGTACCACTGTATTAAACCTTTTCTACTGCATCTTTTCCAATAGTCCATATTTTTTTTTCCAATAGTCCATATATATTGTTTATAACTCCATTATCTCCATAGTTCTTGCTACATTACAAGTGCTATTTCAATCCTACTAATGTTTTCATCTGCTTACAGTGGTCTCCGAGATAAATTATAAATTTCCCCCATTCTTTGTTAAGGTTTTGGTCTTTTTGTTTCAACAAATTACTGTATTTTTCTGTGTGTAAGACGCCCCCGTGTACAAGACGCCCCCTGCTTTTGGGAACTCCAATTTAAGAAAATGGTGGGAGATGGCCCAGAGTTGTGAGCCTTTTTGGAGGGGAATGCCCCCAAAATCACCCACCCGACGCTGGCAATCACACGCGTCGCAGAACAAAACAAGCGTCTGTTCGCTCACCACCAGCAGCCGCCAATCACACGCACAATTCCCACAGCAGCAGCCAATCCTAAACAGCCTTTGCAGCAGCCACCAATCACCCACCCAATCGCCATTGACAAGCTCCTGCTCACAGCTGCAACCAATCGCCTGTCCCACATATGCACTATACATGTATAAGACGCCCCCGATTTCTAACATTATTTTAGAGTAAAAAAAAAACATCTCATCTTATACATGGAAAACTATGGTAATTAAAATTGCATGTAATGTAAATACTTGGCTGCTTTATGTCTACACCGACCTGCTCTACGTGACATTTCAGATCCTATTTTACCTTGGATTTTATTTTTTTTATTTTTTTGAACCTGCCAAATCACACCGCTGCATCCCCAGTGGGAGTTTCCCAGAGCTCGCCATCTACACCCCAATCTCTTTGGTCTGTTCTGTGAAAGTCTTGGCACACAGCCAGCTTATCTGCTTTGGCAGAAATACAGGAGATTACAGGTGCTCAAAATACTCACGGATTACAATGCTCACTGATTCCCCCCACCCCCACCCCATTGGAAATCAGGCATTTCATAAATCTGGCACATGAATGAAGCAGACCGTACATTTAAATTCCAGAATTTTGAAACATAATGATTCTTCCAGGGGGGTGGCACTTTTATTTTGCTTAAAGCTGTCAAACAAGCAAGAGAGGGACAACAGCAGGTAAGTCAATGAGTTTCCATGGAAATTTAAAACAGAACGGTGTTTGGATCCTGATATGTGACTTACCTGCAAGCACAGTCTGTTCAACTCTCATAAGCAAACCGATACGAGGGTCGCTCATTAAAGATTTCCCCTGACCCACTTCCGGTTATCGTAGGAGGATGAAATTGCACATGTAAAATGATACACTGGGCAAGATATTATGGGCTGTCCCGTGAATTCACTGGATGAAATAGCAGAAGAACGTTGCCTCAGGAGAGTGAGGAAAATTCTCAGGGATGATTCACACCCTGGCCAGCACTTTCTTGATCTCCTGCCCTCTGGCAGACGATATAGAAGCATGATTAGTCGCACCAACAGGGTAAAGAACAGCTTCTATCCGTGGGCTGTTAGGCTGCTGAATGAAAAGATAACAACAGGGCAACTGACTTTCGGGTTTGGTGGGTGTGTGTCACTAAAAGAGGGGAATTAAGACTAAGAGAGCTGAGTGGGGGGTGCTCGTGTAATCTCACTGTATACAAGTTGTACAAGTGACAATAAAGTATTTCAATTTCAATACATCTCTCCATAGGTAACGTGGTAATTTGTAGCTCTGAACTCCTAACAGTTTCTTTGCTATGGGTACTAACATGGAGTAATGTCTGATCATGGAACCAGTTGAATACAGAGCGGTCATCAGGTTCCTGTACTTGAAAGGGCACACACCACGGGAGACGTTTGATGAGATGAAAGGGACTTATGGGATGGATGCCCCATCGTATGACATAGTCAAGCACTGGCATCGTCAGTTCAAGTGTGGTCAGACTTTGGTGGAACGGCTCCCATTCCTGGGTGACCACAGTCCGCCATTGATGAAGACATCATCCAGCAAATGAAGGCCGCCATTTTGGAAGATCGCCGCATAACCGTTCGCCAACTAGCTGCAGGTGTCAAAATCAGTGTGGGCTTTGTAGAAAAAAATTATCTGTGACCGTTTGCACATGGGAAAGGAGTCCACACGGTGGGTTCCCCGGCTGCTGACGCCTTTCCAGAAGCAGGAACACGCTCACGGGCTCTTTTGGCCAAGTGTCACGAAAACCCTGATGACTTCTTCGCCAGACTAATTACTCAGGATGAAACATGGGTCCATCATTACGACCCAGAGACTAAATCCCTGTCCAAATAATGGAAGCACTCTGCCTCACCACCTCCAAAGTAGGCACGTCAGTGAGCGAGGTAATGCTCACAGTTTTCTGGCACCAGCGCGGGTAGTGATGATGGATTTCCTGGCAAAGGGTACCACAATTACCGGGACATACTACTGCAGAAATTGCAGAAGGCCATCAAAATCGTGAGGCATGGTGTGCTGACCAAAGGTGTCCGCCTCCTGCAGGATAATGCCCCAGTTCACATTCACATGTTGCTCAGACAGAAACACAGTCCTGTGGATTTGAAATCCTTCCTCGCCCGCCCACCCCTTATTCTCCTGACCTCACACCATTGGACTTTGACCTCTTTCTAACCATGAAGTTCTTTTGAAGGGCAAGATTTTTCCAGACGATGAAATGCTGATTTCTGAGTCGTGGCTTCTGACACAACCTGCTGACTTCTAAAAACGAGGTCTCCACAGTTGCATAAAGCGATGGAAGAAGTGTTTGAATCTTGCCGGTAGCTATGCAGAGAAGGACTAATAACTGTGCCCAGTTTTGTTTCAGTCCATGGGAAGTACGTCAGGAGAAATCTTTAATGGACGCCCCTCATATATCTGAAAATATGACCTTCGGACTCTTGAATGTTCCATGGCTCTGCTGACTGCCGGATTGTAAGGAAAACTTCAAGGAGGTTTCCAAAAGATGAAACAGCAAAATCAAGAAAAATTCCCAACCATACTTTAAAACATACAAAAGTTAAAACTCTAAAACAAATTAAAATTACCTCCACTTTCTAAGCACCTGGGTAGACTTGAATAAACAGGTCTGGAAAGAGTACAGTGAAGGCACCTGCTTGATCTTGATAGGCATGGAGAAAAAACAAGATATTTGGTTCCTCCATCCCCATTAGAAATTGTGCGCCTATTTTATCCTGTTCAGAAATCATCATTATGTGGGAAGAACATTGTGTACAAAACAACACTGAGTGTGTGGAAGACCACAGATGACTGGATGTCTCCAAACAGGGGAGAAGGGAAAGGAATTCACCCCCATTAACCCTGGGAAATACTCGCAGGGAGAAAACAAATCAGGAACAAATGCATAGCTTTGCAAAAGTGCATTTTACGGCAGACGACAGGGAGTGCTGTTTCTAATGCATTTGCACTGAAACTGCAAGAAAAGGTTTGAGGGAAGGAAGCCACCAGACCTATTCAGCCTGAATTTGTGCTTTTTATCCCAAAACAAAGTTAAGCAGCCAACATGTTAAACAGCCAAATGTTAAGCAGCATTGCAAGGCTAAATTGTGCATTTTGCTGCTCATTTCAGCAGTGGAATGGGAGGGGTAGCAATCCCTCAAGTATGCCCAGCCCCAGCCCCCCAAGGCCACAATTAATAAATGGGCTCTGGCAGCACATGGCAGACCAAGGAAACAGAGATCATTTCTTTGCAAACCCCCAAATTATCAATGCCTTCGGCCAGTCAGCATCACTCAGGCATCCGAACTATGAGTCATAATCTTTTAATGAGAGAGGAGGCTACTCATTTCTAGCCATATTTCTAAGTGGTTTTCTCTTGGTTCTCTTGCGGACGTCATCAGCGACACCAGTAGCTGTGAAGCCACAGCATCTGGTGAAATAAATGGCTGGAGTTCATTGACAAACTAAAAAGTCCTTTATCAATCAGTCGAGCATCCTAGAAAAATGGTTTTAAGAGAGGAGGCAGCAGAGAGGTTTAGGTGTGCATCACCAGCTTGAAACACCATGAAAACACCAGTCGCTTTATTCCTTCACTCCATCAAGGAATATATGAAAAAATATGGTTCCGGAACTGGAATTGTTAAGTTGTGGGTGAACATATCACACGACACAGTGATTCTTCAAACAGTTCTTGTTTATTCACAGGCCAGAACAGAACTGAACTGAAGGGTTCAGCCAGCCTGCTTATATAGAGCTCCAGTACAATGTAACTGTAACAACTTTCTGTAACTATCCAATCCCTGAACGTCACTTTCGATCCCTTATTTGCATATGTGGACCTGAACTATCTACAGTATCCCCCTGCTGGCCCAGGGTGAGAACTTCAGTACACAACAGGAATATTAATAGATAATGCATAAAACGTGCAGGGGTAAGCAAGGAAATAATAAAAGAATCAATTGAACAATTATTAAATTATAACAACACAACAAGACGGAAGAAGTAAAAAAAAACACCTGAGATCACACATGGGTGAAGGGGAGTGGGGGGGTATAGGGGAATTTATAATATTATTTATAATATAAAAATTTTAATATAAAATTTCTAATTGTGTTGTATTTATATACAGCAA